TATGTTGCAACTAATTTTAGCTTATGTTGCAACATTTTGTAAATTTGAAATCAATTGCTGTACCATCTTTAGTAATAAAGAAATCAACTTTGAAATAATTACTTCTATGTATCTATTATCTAGGATTTGATCGTGAACTACTACACTAACTTGCTTTTGAGTTCATCATTAAAATAAATAAATTCTTTACATTTTCCCTAAATCCCTAAACCTTTAAGTTTGTAAAATTAAGTAAAGTAATTCTAAGATATTTTAGATATCTATAGGATGTGAGATTTTCTAAAGTTATAAAGTCTGATAATAAGTAACTTACTTATCCTAGTAAAGTAACTTAGTGAAACATGTGTATAAAAAGAATTATTTCCAGTGATAATATAGAAGCTTTATATTAAAAATAAAGAAAAATATAAAAGATTAAAATTTTACTTTATAAATTAACTATGATTTTTTTAGTATAATATATTTAGATTTAACATTAATTTAGAAAAATATATTTTAAAGTTTTTTTTTCTTTTTACTGCTAAGCATCTATGATATCTTATATAATAATAATAAATCAATAAATATTAAAGTTATTACAGTAATTAAAAAAAATTTTATATATATAATATCTTTATATATTTTCAATAAAATAAAGAAATACATAAGTTTACTATATAAGTTAGAAGTTTAATCAATTTAAAAAATAGATAGTAAAATTTAATGAAATTATATTAAAATTTTATTAAAAATCTGCAAAATTTGAAAACAAAGGTAAAATTATATTAAAATAGTAAATTATATTAAAATTTATATGTTTGGCTAAAATAAATCTTAACTAGAAAATGGAAACTGTTGTTAAATCTGAAACACAAATGTAATAAAAGAAATCAATTACATATTAACTCAAATTTTGAACAATTAGATAATAGTATATCGATCATTAAAGTATCTATTAGTATATAATCCTTCATTTCATTCTACTAATAATATATTTAATATTAAATTATAATTATAAATATAAATTTATTTTTATTTTTAGTTTGATATTTAAATTCTTTTTATTTTTAATATTAAATTGATAGTATTATTATTTTATAATTAAAATTTTTTAATTTTATAAAAATTTTTATTATTATATTTAGATTAAATATTATTTCTTTATTTTTAAATAAATAATTTATTATTAAATTTATTTAATTGATTTAAATAATTTTAAATTTTATTTTATTAAAATTAACTTAATGGTTAATAAATTAGTAAGCCAATAAATAATAAATTAGATTTATTAATTTTATTATTTAATATTTTAATTTTTTAATTTTTTATTAAATTAATATATTTAAAGTTATACTATACTCTTAATTATTTTAAAATAAATTTTATATAGATAATAATTATTAAATTAAGTTTTTATATATATAATTTATATGATTATTAAGATCTATTTTAATTTTTTAAAATTTTAGAAATGTTTTGTTTAAAATGCCTTTTTCTTAAAGTTAAAATTTAATAAACTTTATTATATTTAAAAAAAATCTAAATTAAGATATTATTATAAACAAAAAATTAATCTCAAATATGTCAAATTTTAAGATTAAAAAAAATAGTTTAGTAAACTTCTTTAATATATATAATTATATTTATTAATATATATAATTATATTTATTAATAAATATTATTTTCTAAATATATTATTTATTTAAATATAAAAATAATGCTTTTAATAATTTAGAATATTCATTTATTATTAAAATAAAAATTTAAAATCCGGATTTAACCGCTACAACTAAAGATTATTTACAAATTTCAAATTATCTTCAAAAATTAATTGACAAATATGGATTTATGGCCGGCCGGAACATATAAATAAGCCTATATAAAAATCTCTTGTATTTCGGATTTTGTAAATACCTCTAAATGATTCAAAATTGAAGAATTTTTAAAAAAGCAAAACAATTTATTTTAATTTCATATTTTAAAAAAGGAAATTTATTTTCCTTATCCTTTAATCACTTTAGAAGATTCTTATTCTGATTTCTAAATTTTATTTTAATTTTTAAAAATATATTCTTTACCTCTAATCTAAATTTGAAAATTCCGGTCTGTTATAAAGGAAGAGGTAAGCAATTTTAATTTTTTAAAAAAAAAATTGATCAATCCCAGGTTTCGATCTGTTCTAATATAGGTTAACTCTACTTTTTTTTATAAAAAAAAGACACTATTTTAAAGTAGAAATAAAATGATCGACGGCACATGTGCTATACCTTGAGTCCATCCAGACATTATTATATTTTAGAATTTATCAGTGGAGATTATTGGTAATATTATTTATTATTTAAAGCAAAATATAATATATAGAAAAATAAAAATTAAATGAACAAAAATATTTATTTTTAGCATATTACATGTGCATAAATGTTCAAAGTTCTTTTCTTGATGTTTTAAACTATAAAAAAATATAATCTTATTTCCTATCATACATGAATCAATTTTAATAAATATGGGGAATTTCTGGAAAAATCAAAAGTAAACTTAAAGGAATTTGTAAGAATTTTTGTTAAAAGTATATTATTAAAACTATATGGGAGCGTTTCCAGTAAAATTACATTACGGATCATATGATTTACTATGCCTCATGACTAGATTTTACTGGAAATGTTCCTATATACCTATTATATAGAAGATATGTAAATCTTTAATAAAAATTTAAGTTTTTTTTATAATTTTTTTTTTCTATTCATAATCTTTATCAGCTTAAGGATTTTTTGTTGATCTAATCGGATAATTCTTATGGATCCGAATCATCAATAGCGCTTATCCAAATTTCTAACTTTTCATTTAATTCAGATATAGTTGGTCGATTTGAGGGGTCAGAACTCCAACATTGTGTCATTAATTGAGTATAATGTTTTGGAGTTCTAATTTCTGGATGAAGACCGAAACAAATTTCATTGGTCAATTGAGAATCACGTGGCCTATTACACCATGCAGTAGTGATTGGAATCATTAAATAGTTATTCGAGTAATTCGAATATACAGTCAACCCTTGATATAACGAATTTTATGTCCTGAACTTCAACTTCGCTATAGAGCTATAGTGAATTTTT